AAATACTACTGAGGATGAGCACGAAAGCCGTACTGTGAGGTTCTAGCAAAGTATTTGCTTAGGTGATCTTCCGGTGTTGAGCCTACAGTGATGACATCACCAAGAGGCCATTAAACCCGGTGGTGTCACCAGTAACTTTTGGAATAAAGCGAGCGGTCGATTATGGCGACAGAGGCTGCGATGCACGTTTGGTGTGTTTTCAACTTCCACTTGTATATATGCATTAGAAAAGTCAGCTGTGGAGAAAAATCTAATTCTGTTGAGCTTACCAAATAAATCCCCCGGAAACAGGCAACGGGTACAGATGCGTACTGCAGTAAGCCTAGTTGAAGGTCAGTATAGACGCTTAGTACACCGTTGGTCTTCCTACTAAGGAGGAGTTTGGGATGACAGCATCTTCCCTCTACGTTTGAGTTGATTCGGCGTCCACTGCTTCTGTTGGGGATCGTGATACCGGTTTGGGGCGAAAAGTGGACAATGATGGTACAAGACTGCTTCTGTTTTGCAACGCAGACCGAGACTATCCGTAAAGAAGCTAGGATAGTACAGTTCAAAAGGTGTGAGAAGTTTCCGGTTGTCTTGTTAAACGAAGCGGTGACACTGAACAGAGTAAATCCACAGGACGCAAATTCAGCTACGTGATGCGTTAGGCTATTCCTAAAATCTAGTTGGCTTATCTACTCGACTCCAAGGAAATCCGCGTGATCGCTGGTGAATATATAGCAAATGACTGATTCAAAATGGTCGCTGAAACTAAGATAGCAGTCCAACTCACCAAAAAAATAAGTTGGATCACCGGCTGAACTCTATACAACACGAGCTGTTGGATTGTACGGTGAATTTCCAAAAGAATTCCACACAACGTGACAGCTAATAGTAATGTTAGATAGCTACATGTAACGGGAACAGTTTCGATCAGAACTGTCATATACTCTTACAGTTCTGGGAAGAGTCGTGGAAAAGATGACATTGGACCGATGTCTCAACCACGGATTTGACAATTGTCGCATTTACAGCGATTACCTGAGAATCATTTCATGGCGATTATAGGAGGCATAGTTACAGAAAAAAATGCAACTGTTCACAACAATGACATGCAGCTGGTGGACGTCATCAGCATGTGAGGCGATCATGACTGGTTTATACGTGATTGTTTTTAGCAAAACACCTTGTTATCCGATCGGCTGCCGCTACTTACTTGCAATGCGGGCTGTTCTGTGACATCTGTTCGTCCTGCTTCAGATTACCAAGGAGAAAATATCCTGTTGGGGGGGGGGGGTTCTGTGAAAGCGTTCAACTTTTCAAGTAGACAGTTACCGATATATGATCAAAACACTATTTCCAGCCGTGATGTCATAGGAAATCCTTATAGTGTGCTTGCTTCCAGAAAATAGCTTGTGTTTAAAATCATACGGACAGTCTGGGTCTCGATAACTCCTACCAGCTTTCGTGAAACTAACCTGTGTAGGAAGTTCCCTCGTGCACGCGAACAGTGTAGAGTACTACTTGGAAGTCACAGTAACAAAACAACTTATTCTTATAAATGACACGAATAAATCTGCGGTCATGTTGAGGACGGACTGCTGGTGATGATAAAGCGTCCGAATCGACAAGGCATCTCTTTTCCCTCTCTTTCAAGCCCACCGCAAAACTCCAAACCCTTCTAAGAGTAGCGCATCATTGTAATCGGTGGTAAGTGTTTCTGTTTACCTCACCGACCCAGTAAGATGCTTCGTTATGGGTTCCTATAAGGAGGAGAGTTTCACTAGATTCGGTTTTAGAAGTTCTGCTCGCCTGTACTTCAAAGTACATCGATTCTGATCTACTGAAGCGCAAAAGTTATCCTCAAACTGCAAATGAGCTGAGAGGAGTTTATTATAAGTAAAATCAACACCCTAAAAATGTGGAAAACTCCGAAGGATTATCGTAATGATGTATATTGCCCATGGTCCCTTGGATTTCCTTTATACTTCTCCTTCCACCCAAATAGTAGCGGTATGCTGTCACGTAATATCGAAATCATACACACTAGTCAAGCTAAACTGGCTAACCTACGTTGTAGCTATCCTCCCTGATCAGCCAGCTGGTCCGAGGATGTCAGAGGCATGCTGGTGAGGGTTGGAGAGGAGTGCAGCGCACATCAGCACGGGGAACAGTAATTTGGAGGGATAACTTGGCACTATAATACCAACCAAAAAGGGCTTAGTGTTAGGAAAGCAAGCATAAGGAACCGATGAGAAAATTGCAGTTAAATGTCCTCAGGTTTAATTGCTTCCAAGTGGGGGAACTGATCACTACGTTGTCAGTAATGCCTACCACGTAAAAAAGGCTTTGAACTGTTCCCTGTCTGTCTTGTGAGTTAGACACGAGACGGGAAGGAAGCGTGTGTATTTGAGAGTAAACCTGAAAACAACTGAATGTGTTTCCGGACGTAAAAACGGACCAATTTTGACTGCTTAGGCTAACGGCTAGCGCAAATCCCTCAGAGAGTGGGAGAGAGAGAAAGAAAGAAAGAGAGAATAGACCCAGCACACACTGTTCAGCAACATCGAAAAAGCTAGAGTATGATTGTTAGAACAGTCAGGGATTCCAGACCCACAATTACACACGTCAAAGCAGTGGTCTGAAGGGAATAAAACACGCCTGTACAGGTCCCTCCTCGCATAAAAATGTGTCGGAATGTTTTTTGCTTGTTTGATCTTTCTTGCTTGGACGCCAGAGTACGCCACTGGATTCCCATTAGAGTTGTCTGTATTAGGAGTCATGCATTTGTTGCGGCAGTGACATTTAAAGGTCTGTAAAGTGGCGCTTTTTACGTCACGGGAGGACATTATACAGATATATCTGCATTAACAGCTGAATTCAATTTAGCAGTCTGAGAATAAGGTGCAACTACGCATCACGGTAAACATCGTATTGTTACTTACTTGTATAATTTTCAATCAAACTCCGATTCAGATACACGAAAATGTGAACATATCCTAAGTCATCAAGATATTTGTGTCGGTCTAATGAACTGGTGAACTTTTGTGTACTGTGCAATATGGCGAAAAATAAATGTTTCCAAGTTTTTCATGGTTCAATAAGACGAGCTAAGTGTAATACTGATAACCGTACGCAGAATTTATGACATGGCTCACAGTCCAAAGCAAGTGATTTTTCACCTTGCATTACGGTGTATGATGAAACTATGGAGAAACATATCTTGACTTCAACGGAAGACTAAACCGACGTTCAGCTGAATCTCTCGCTTCTGGTAGTGTTCAGCTGGATGTACTGAGCAAAATGGAGCTGTGTTAAGGAAAGATACTCCACTATTCTGAATCGCATATTTTCTGGCTATTTTTGCTCGTAGTTTAGACCATTCCAAAGGTGGGGCCCGAGTGGGAGGGAGACAGATTTCAGGAAACCATTTACCCTGGAGTCCACTGTGGACAACTTCACCGTGTGGTTTTGCTACAGCAATCTAACGACTGAGATTTTCAATCCACCAATTTGCCTCCTGTGAAGCTATGCTTGAACTAAACTTTTGGAAACCATAGGATCGGAGGGGTTGATCTTGTCTTTTGGCCAGTCATTGGATGTTCCGGCAAGTAAACAGGCGGATAGGATTCTGAAAAGAGACGCACAGCAGTGCGCGCATGCTAAAAGTTTCCACCTCTTGGGGCACTTTAACTTTATCCCCATGAACTAACATATTGCTATAGGAACACTAGAACTAGTTTAAATACATTTTATACATTTTATCCTGGAAGGCTTAGAAAACAACCCTGGGACGGGGTGATGTGATTTCGAGGGAATTAATGTGGAAAAGGCAAAATCTACAACAGTGGCATCTCCGTCATCATTGGGAATAGTATACCGGTGGCGCATAGTCATGAGGAAAGAATTCATCAGTGAAGGTGGAGCCGGACCAATCGAAAAGAAGCGACCACGAACTAGGTGTCCACACCTTGGAACAGCACAAAGAGCACCAGAACAGATTACGACGTTATCACTGGGTTTGACTCAACTTCCTTTGTGAACTTCGCCCAACCAGATACCACAAGACACCCACTGAAAGCAGCAGAATTCCGTTATGCTATGAAGACACCAGTGAATAAAGGTTTGGAGTAGTTTAACGTCTTTAGATTATGGGGTATACGACTCACAACCACAACTTAAGGCTGATTTTACAGCTGCTTTGCATACACGGCCCTTCAGCATTAGTGGTTTTCGTTTTGGATGCTGTGAAATAAGTTGGTCAATGTTGATCAGCTCTCACAAAGAGACTGGACCATACCATGGTGTGTAGAATTGTGCATTTTCACAATCAGTTAGGCTACACTAGGGAGTAAAAAAAACGGACCATACCATGGTGTGTAGAATTGTGCATTTTCACAATCAGTTAGGCTACACTAGGGAGTGTGCGTGTGACACTCATAGAGCTTCATACCATAATTTGCGATCAACGGGGTAGATAAGATTATTATATCGGTGGAATCTTACTAAGGAAAAACAAAACTAGTGTCTTGTGGCGTCTCAACACATAGCTGCCCAGCATGCCGTTCAAAGTGCGAAATGCTGCCAAATCACGTGGAATAAGACAGTGACAAGCAGGTATTCCGGGAGAGGATTTCATCAAGTATCCGTTGCTCGAGGACTCACCGTTTAACTCGGAATCAATGAACGGATATTATCAGAGTCGTTCTATTGAAATGGCATAACACGAACATATACTAAATTTCAATAGGTCCGGATGGGCCTTAACAGACCAATGCGGGAAACAAGGTTATTTTGGGGGCCATTGATTGACTCCTACACTTGCCTCAATCCCCAAATGACTATCTAGTCTCAACGAGTCCAGTAGTTGAATAACAGATACCACCCAAGGAGAATAACTGCACTGATGATTTCATGCAGTACTTCGAGGCTGCAGATTTGAAAAATTGTTCTCTACAACAGTCAACATCGGATCCAAATTAGAAGTCTGTCACATCAGGTGCAGATGACCTAGTTGGTGGGGCTCGACAGGTTAATATATTTACAACAGTACATTAGAATGTCATACAGACGCGACAGAAGACAAGGCCGTATTGCCCCAAATTAAGTTACAGGGTAGGGAAGGGGGCAATACTGTTGATGAATCAAACAAGAAAAAAGACGCATGTGAGAATGGAGATAGGATTTGACCGATATTCAAAACGACGGGAGGAGAATTGAACAAGTTCTCAGGCGTTACAAGGACATATCGTCAAGCAAAATAACTGCATTCTACTTGGGATCAGTTTTTAAAGACAACAAACGGACAAAAAGGTTTGGTGACATCTTCGTACTCCAGAACAAGAACGATCGGAATATAGAAGACAGAGTTCATTCGAGGCGATCGGCATGAGTGGGAATAAATGTAATTCGAAGTCAGCGGAAATGTTCTGCTTGAGTGATGTTCCTGTGTGTGTGCGTGTGTGTGACCGTGATGAAGATCCCCCGGAGAGGGTTCATGAAGATGGAATACGGACATACGGCAGTGGAATTTAATGTACTATTGCTCCTGCGAGCTGGGATGAGCTGTCCATTTGAAAGTACATTCGGCTCTGCTCCTGCGAGGACAGAGAGCTGGGGTGAGCTGTCCATTTGAAAGTACATTCGGCTCATGGACGAGAGTTGAATGGAGCGAATGAGATCAGAAAATTGCCGACTGTTAAAACCAGCAATGGTGTAGCGGCGTTTGATCACAGCAGAGTTGCTAACGTGCAGGGAGAGAGGGAGAGAAGAAAAACCACACTTCAATGACCTGTCAAATCGAGAGATAAACTGAGAGTGTACTTTAGGCGGAAACCAATGGGACGACAAGAATGCCCAAAGTTCTCCTCCAGTTTGGTTTGACTTTTTGGATGAGCTCGGTGAGATACCTCATATGCATCTTACGGTCAGAGTCCTTAAAGTGACTTCAGGATGTTGAACGGGGCTCAAAGGGGAGAATAAAGTACCAGTTCTTCTTTAGTTTGTCCATGTGCACGATTTCAGCTAGAGATTGAGCATCAGTAAGGAGAACAATATACTACCTCTACTACTTTGCTGGTCAGACTACGGGCCGCCTAAAACACTATGGAAAGGGATGCTTCTTAGAGTTTTGAAAGCCTCATCAACTCCAGCCAGGAAGAACACCGACAAGGATTTGGAGATCAACAACGTACTACTTCACAACAAAGGTTTGTGGCATCAATGCAGATAGTTAAACACTTACAGGAAGTAAGGCGCTTGACGGTAGCACAGTAATCGGGTCTTGGTTTGGCAAACTTGGCACAGAGCTCGGGCAGGCAGTCCGTGGCTAGACGGCGGTCTGATGTCGGAACTGGATGACTTGTTGCAAGAACTGAAAAGATGGGGAAACAAAAAAGAGAAGAAACAGGGTTAGATGAGATGGCACGTGAAAGACGGAGAGATGGAAGGGAAACCTGGTAGTGATAAAACAAAACCTTCAGAGCTGACTGATTCCCAACCTTTCCCACCATGGCTTGTGAGCCCTAATCACACGGCAGTTAAGCGAAGGGATATCTCAACAATGTTCCTGAATTTAATGATTTAGTGGTCAGAATTTTAAAAAAAGATATACCGGTCAAAAGTAGTCGGACCAGCGAACGCCTGTGCAGAGTCGCTTTCCTGAGTGAGAACCCAAGGAACATGGATTAACAGCGCAGTCAATGGTGGTCCTACACTAAACCCATCGTCTTCAGCGCGTCGTTGTCACAGGCACTATCGCTTCCAATATATGACTTCTCCATAATCATCGTTATCCTCGGTGGATGAAAAGGTAACGCCTGAAGACAGTGCAGAGCTGACGCATGATTCTTAGCTGACAACTCAGGGGGGCGAGATGGCCCAAGTGGTTAGAGCGCGAATTTACTGACCGGAAGGTTCGTGGTTCGAATCCGACCTCCGCCACTCGACTTCCCCTGTCTAGGCTTGGGCAACCTGGCAGTATCCTAGCCCTCGTGCTTCCTTCGGGTGGCATGGCAGTTAGGCACCGGAAGGGTGCTACAGCTGAACGCTTTCTTTTTCTTTCTGACAACTCAGGACTGAAATGAGAGTGTGTAGGTGGGCATGGTGTCGAAGGGATAAGCAGAGAGAGCCTAAGCACGATGTCACAGACATGAGCATCACCACATATCTACATCAAACAAGTGTGGGCTCTGAAGCGAAAAAAAACAAATCGCTGAAATGAACAAAACCAATCTTGACCCCAAAATACACCCGAATACGATGACAACAAGTTAAATTATAAGAAAGAGGTTACATGGAATTAAGTGACGTAAGATGTGCAGTAACAAGAACTTCAATGACTCGTCATTATCGTCATAGGGAGCAATACAATAGCAGTAAACACAATGAAACCCCCAAAAATAGATACGTTTAACAGGGCTTTTTATTGATACATCAAGCGATAGAGCAGACAAGTTTCCTTCTAAAAAAACTTTCTATTGCCTGACAGACCGACTGCGTCGCGTTCAGTAACAACTCTATGTAAGCACGTATTGCAGATCTTTTTACGCGAATCCTATTTCCTCACATGGTGTGGAGGTGCCGATTTGTTTTCCTCCGACGTACCACCAAAGTCATCAGTATCGTTTTCCCACATTCCAAGTGAGTTTATCATCCTGATGCAGCAAGAAGTCCTACATCACCCATGACAGAAAATTCGTAAAATCTTTGCGGTTGCTGCAGTAAGTCTGGGAGACGTTCATCGGGCACTTACCCAGGTGGTGGTGGATCATGCAACGGAAAGCTCACAGTGGTCGGAGAGCGTCTTCCGGGTATACTGTCTCATGCCAAAGACGAAGCATTCAATGCACCAGCCGACCAAACACAGAGAAGGAAAACAGTTTATAATCGCTGAATGAACAAAACCAATCTTGACCCCAAAATACACCCGAATACGATGACAACAAGTTAAATTATAAGAAAGAGGTTACATGGAATTAAGTGACGTAAGATGTGCAGTAACAAGAACTTCAATGACTCGTCATTATCGTCATAGGGAGCAATACAATAGCAGTAAACACAATGAAACCCCCAAAAATAGATACGTTTAACAGGGCTTTTTATTGATACATCAAGCGATAGAGCAGACAAGTTTCCTTCTAAAAAAACTTTCTATTGCCTGACAGACCGACTGCGTCGCGTTCAGTAACAACTCTATGTAAGCACGTATTGCAGATCTTTTTACGCGAATCCTATTTCCTCACATGGTGTGGAGGTGCCGATTTGTTTTCCTCCGACGTACCACCAAAGTCATCAGTATCATTTTCCCACATTCCAAGTGAGTTTATCATCCTGATGCAGCAAGAAGTCCTACATCACCCATGACAGAAAATTCGTAAAATCTTTGCGGTTGCTGCAGTAAGTCTGGGAGACGTTCATCGGGCACTTACCCAGGTGGTGGTGGATCATGCAACGGAAAGCTCACAGTGGTCGGAGAGCGTCTTCCGGGTATACTGTCTCATGCCAAAGACGAAGCATTCAATGCACCAGCCGACCAAACACAGAGAAGGAAAACAGTTTATAGTTGAGCACACGAGTCACGGTTTTATCAGCTTCCTTCTAAAAGGGACTTCCAAATATTTGACGAGTCCCCTATCAAGCGGTTTGTGTTGCAAACGGTTGATGCTGACCAACTTCACGCTATCAAGGTACCCACACGAACTTACCAAGCAACGATGAGATTGTAATGTTTTGTGTGGTGTTTTGATTGTTCACGTTTCGGAAACAAATATCGATGGCTTTTGGGCCTCAGCCGAGAGGCCTACAAGATTTGACGGAAGACAATCTAGCTGTAAGCGCGTGTGTAGCGCTAACGTGTTCTCAATCCTTCGCCTTCATTGGCAAACAAGCGTTGAGACGCCATCCTCAACACGGTCAACAATGTCCTCTACGAAGTCACATTCTGACGAAGGGACGCTAGCTTGATGTGGTGGCTGGGTTTGACTACTGCAGGGAACCCGTCAGCTAAACAGACCAGAATTTTATCCCTCAGGGCTCCACGAGGCCAGAGACTTGAGCTTGACAAGCAACAAGTGTATTGCTAGTAATCGTATTACGAGTCGGTCTTGTCTGTCTGCCGTGTGGTACCAGATACCTGGATGGAAGCCCTTCGATATGAAGTTATTTATTAGCAAACACGAAACAAGCGGTTGCAAGCTATTAGACACGAAAGTAAACATGTCAGAAATTTTGGAAAGTGAACATTCCCAAGTGTACTCTTGAACTTCCCTGGGCCTTCTTCGAATATTAAACAGTCATAAATGAACACTGCAAAGGAGTCCCATAATTTCCATAATAACCTCTACTTGGCGCCAGCTAGGGGGCGGAGCCAGTACACTAGACAATAAACTACTTGCATGCCCCATCAGCAGTATACACCGTTACACCCGTAGTTTGTACGGTTTGTTGGGATTGGATTTTCGAGAATCTAAGATTGTCGCCATACTAGAGTTTCAGAGAGGCAGAAAACATACATTCATCGATTTCGGATGACGGGTATCATCAGACCAAGAAGACATTGGATGACCAAACTGGTCGATCGATGAGTAGTGGGAAATGATCAAGTACGGTAAAAGACGATAATTTCAACCATCGAATAGAGTAAATAGCTATCAAATAATTGGACTAATGTTTGGTTTTGATAGGAATCACGTTGGATGAGTTAGCTGCACGAAGCCGTTCTGCGGGAGTTGATCACCATGTTGAGCCAACATTCGACATCACTTAACGCGCATCGCAGGGTGTATGGAGCAATGTGAATAAACGTAAATCTGAGACGTTCCAACAAGTAATGTGAGGGAAAGTAGGTAGGCTGGACTCAATCAAGAAAGTGAAGTCAACCCATGCAAAAAACTGAGAAGCTTCGTAGGACCATTCACTGCCTGTTGAGAATCATCAGCAATCACACCTAAAAAATCTACGAAGAGGTTTGACGTCACAAACTTTCAAACGGTAGCTGAACAATCCACGTTCATTCTACGAGTGGATGATAAAAAAATGATTGAACAGGACAATGACACTACTCACCTTTCAGTTACGCGCCTGATCTAATAAGGTCTATTCCCCAACTGAGTCACCGTTTGCATTAGGATAGTGCGAGTCAAGGTGTACCAAAAAACGCCATTACTTAGGGTTCTTGATCAAATGTCAAGTTCGTCTTGCACAAAGAGACACTAGCTTAGTATTCAAGCGGTTCATATTTCCGGGTATTCTTTGATAGGGTTCATTGACGTTTGCTCGTCCGATCACTGAGTAATTCACTCTGGCGAATTAAATTCATTCCCATTACTAGAAGATATATTGGTTGGTGGATAACAACCTAAGTTTAACTACCACCACAAACGTTCCAACCTGGATGAGATGCTCAACCGCTACCCGGTGAAAAACTGTTACGCCGCGTTAGGCGTTTAGGGCTGAACATCCAAAACAAGACAATGGGCGAAGAACGGACAGGTTCTCTAATCTTAAAAGTTAGAGCATTGGTATTGCAAAAGAGGCAGTAATGCGGCTGTTTCATACAAACGTCAAGTTTCTGAACACAAAAACATCCCTACAGCGAGGGTGTACATAAAGTGCTAAAGGTATCAAAATCTGATTTCGAGTACATCAAACGGTATCAGCGGGAATAACTCACGTAAATGATCATTGCGGATCCACCCTCGACAACATTGCGCTCGATATCGCGAAGAGGGCAGTTCTCCAGAGACAAAATCTTCAAGTTTTTGCACAGAGATAATTCGACTGGTAGGCTGTTGAGATTCAGATTGTCGTTTAGATGCAATTCTTGTAAGGCAGACATATTACCTGTGAGAAGGCAAAATAAGCACGACAAACAAACATGACATGAGAAAGACTGAACGTGAATCAAAGTGCAATATAGTTGGTGTATATGATGAATCTCTATAAGCAAATCGAATTGCATTGTAATATACAAGCGAGGTGAACTTTTATGGTCCTAGTTATTACTAGTGTTAATAATAATAACTATTATTTCACCAACATACTGAGATGAGAACGGAATAAAGAGATTTACCAACCTAAGCGCTGTTGAGGGAGCGCTTGGCATGGGGAGAGAAAGAGAAACTGGTTCCGGCTGTTACGTCTGCCGTTTGCCCAGTAGACCATATTCCGCAACGAGGCGCACGATAACTACCAGTGTGAATATCCAAGGGACGAGGAGAGTTAGGAATACAGAAAAGTTCCCTCACGGTGAACGTGAACGGAGCCGACCGAGGATAGTCACTGCATTGGAACGAAAGCCATAGTGTTCTAGCCTACTGCACGTCCGATACTTAAAACAAATCTGGGCGGCACCTCTACGTCCATTTTGTTCTGAGGGGAAACGGCTGAACTAGTGATGATAACGAAGGTATAGTTGTTACAACTGAAATAAGAGTCACAACATAGATACGATCAAATAGAGAAGTGACTACTGTAGTGCTCACCGCTGTACGGAGGTATCAATGCAAACAATTCTGAGCTCGGCACTCTTGAAATTTACAGCAGACGACTACAAGTAACACAGTTCCAGTTATGATGGACTGTGTACCAAACTAGTCGGAACGTACCATTGACAATACACAGGGACCAAACATAACTTGAATTAGGACAGCTGGAATCGCAGAGTCAATCGCCACGATTTGTGCATCAGTTTTTTTTTAAATCGGGCTAGATCGTGAATAAACAACAATGAAAAATGGGACTCTGGCTCTTCTTTAACTCTCAGGTGTCTCGCAAAGCAGTACCTGAGCAATAACGAAGTATCGCCAGATCGGTTGCTTTGCTCGACGGCAGAGTAACACCCAAAAGTAACAGACCACACCATCGATCAACCGGGAAAACAAAGTAAACTGCACATCAGAGCTCACCAGATGGGTCGTCACAATAGCCATTAGTGTCAGGAATACCCTGAATATGGAACACAACGAACCATTGACGACTAGTTCGGGATATATATCCATAGTAGCGCGACGTAGAGAAGTCTTCCAGTGAATGCCAGACTGAATGCAACTTGACCTACGATCGTGGCACCCAAAGCCTAGGGTGGTGGTGGGGTGGCCTAGGGGAGTGCCAGTCTGGCCTTACTCTATGACTTGTGGCGTGTAGCCACGGCGAATTCATGTAGTCAAACAAAATCGTTTCAGGCACCAAATGTCCGTAACTTTGCTGCGAGAAAGGCCGCTTGTTGTTGAAAGACCCAACTATCCTCGCCAGTGAATGAAAGGGATGAATGATCATTATAAACTATCAATTGTATTTAAATCATCCGACCAACTTGTAATAGATGGCATGTCATTCTCAGGAATATCAGGTGCGATCAATGATTGGCCATGTGACAACTTCATTCTCGTCACCAGGTGGCATATGCCGTAGAGCACTAAAGACAGCATTCATACGCATGTCTAGCCTTGAGGGACCAAAACAAACAAAGTGAGGAGGCAGATTGTTTCGTACACCACCAGACGGTTGTTGTAATAATAGAATATTTACAACCAAACAAAGTATGGCAATAATGTTCCGAACACCTTAATCGCCAGATTATCTTTTTCGCGGGGGAACAGGAAATGAGTTTAATCGCACAGGCTACGCGAGAAGCGTAGACAACCAAACAAAGTATGGCAATAATGTCCCGACCACCTTAATCGCCAGATTATCTTCTTCGCGGGGGAACAGGAAATGAATTTAATCGCACAGGCTACGCGAGAAGCGTATCATGTCAAGCATGTGTAAAAGGATTGGTGGTAGGTGAAATATATATGTTGATGCTACACTTGTGCCCGCGATGACCACTGACCGGTCTACAACGACAAGAAAGTCGGGAATGCACACAGATCTATCACACATTGGGAGGCACTGAGACAAGAGACGACCAGTAGGAAGAACTAATGTGCGTGTGCCTCACAAGCTTCGTCAGGCCTACAAATTCCAGTTTTAGGTGGTTAGATTCCCTAGCTCGAGAACAGACTGGTCTGCTGAGTAGTTCAAATGGCTGTCTAGATACAAGAGTACATATGTATGGCCTTGGCAGTGTGAGCTTAAGTGCACGAAAGTGTGCAGCGAATGAAGGCAGCACTAAGTAAAAATTAAAAAAACAACTAGCGATCACGGAATGTATCGTTCAGTCTGCTAGCCAATCGTCAAAACCATGCAACTTATGGGTCTCATCTTGGAAGCGCAGACACGTGACTAGATTTTGCAGTGCGAATATCCTAATACTAGATCGCGTTTGTGATGTCGAACTAAATAGTGCCATTCTTTTCATATACAATGTCAACAAAACCCACGTGAGAGAAACTTGGCGAGGTGCATTATGAAGCAAGCCAGGAAATCGATCAATCAATCCTGAGAAATACTGAGTGAGGTCAATAGCCAGTAATGTAATGTGTTTAAGCCTGGATTAAATAGGATACTTCAAACAACGTTAACTACAGCTTTTTAAAGATGCCTGACACACATCCCCAACACTACGGAGTACACACACAACGGGACGCATGAAAACTTAGACGAATGAGACCTCACATGCTAGCATGCTGTCCAGTTTCTGGCTTTCCACTTTGAATCAGTCACTTGTTCCTTGACATAGGCTGCTCTCGGCTATTGAAAAGCCGTGGGATGGTATATCCATATTTTGACTGACACCTTTGAAACACTGTGACCCACGTGAAGTTTTGTTTAGTTGCGGGATTCCTTATTCGTTTATTGGTTCAACTACTGAAAAGATTCATCACACAAAGCTGGACCCATGTGGCTTGGTTACTAGACCGCTGAACGAGACTCACCAAGGGCAGTAAGGCGACATAATGACTGCGCCCGCGGTGAACTGCCGCTATGTGTAACACAAACGGTCAGTATAAGTCGAAACCTGGAGGCCAAACAGATACTGACGAAGCGCCACTGCTGTGCAGCCTAGTCGGAATAACACAGTGAGCAGTCCCCCCATTTCCTTACGAACATATTATCCAAATATTCGCTGTTCGTTGCGAGCTTGTGGTTCACTGAGGAGACGCAGAAATCCAATTTTATCAACAATTCAAGACACTGATTCCGTACCCACTGAATTCATCCTACCAGTTCAACATATTATCCATTCGCTGTTCGTTGCGAGCTTGTGGTTCACTGAGGAGACGCAGAAATCCAATTTTATCAACAATTCAAGACACTGATTCATTCCCCACTGAATTCATCCTACCAGTTCAAATCAATGTTGAGAAGCCAAAAAGAACTTCACGGCTGTTTGAGCTTATTGGGAATCCTTAACAAATCTCAAGAGAAAGTCGTTTCCGCGGCCTAAACATTGCTCCTGACAATGATGATGATGATGAAACATTGCTCCTCAGGTGGGAGTGGGTAGTTAGTAGTGTGATTACATGGAAATCTGCAAGAACGTCTGCTGAACATCGCCACCCGGAGAACTTCGATGCCACCTCAGTTGTGCGCAATTGCCTTGGGTTTACTTGGAAACCTGTTTTCTTGGGCTCAGTTCTGTAGAACTCAATGGTTGCAAACAAGGAACCAAGTTGCCCCAATAGTTGCTGAGAAACCCACGATAACCAACTGTTTTTGAGCCGAACGAAGCCCATTTTTCCTAACTAGTAGCAAACAACTCATGACGCTGGGAATCCAACTGAAGCCGAATTAACCATGCAACTTTCATCGGTATCTCTGCAAGCCACAGTCAAAGTTGCGTTCCGATGGCTGAAAATCGATTCTTCATCCAAAAACATCTTGATTAGTATACATAGACAAGTGATTTTCAGTTAGGTCATTCACTGCTGTATCATACCACCCACTCATTGGTAGTTACGTTTCAATGTCCGAACATTGGGGGTTAAAGTCTTAACACAGAACTTGTTCATAGTTTCGTTTTTCAATAAGTTTCCGAGAGAAAACGCTGAAATAAATCAGAACACCGAACCGAGTATGGTGGAAACAAGCATAGTAGACCCAAATTCCGTCAGAATCAGACCTCAGCGTTTCGTAGTGCGGTCCATTCTCGTAAATCGCGCTAAATTTCCTCACAATACGACGGGAACTCAAAGTATGTGTACGTTGGACACAATCATTAATAAGGGTTCATAGTGAATCGATGCATCTGTGAAGAATTGGTGCTCCCGATGGAGAAAACCACCGCTTATCAGTGACATATGCACAGTGTTTCAGTCAGGCAGCGAAAAATTGAACCAGAATTCCTGTTCAAGTTCCAGAAATACGATCTTACGAGGTACTGGGAGATCCAGTTATGGTAAGTCAGAAAGAACCTAATGATCAGTCACATGCAGTCCCCCCCCGCGACAAAACTAAGTGATATTGTGCAATCTCAGTTGCAGCTACTGTGACCAGTACGAGACAGGACAGAGCATAATCCAAGTCAGCATTTACGAAAGAGTGAGGTAAATCATTATAAGAGTTGCTTGACAATCAAGATAAGTCATGATGATTAATCGTGGATGCCTCCTGTAGATATCGCTGGTCTGTGGGTTTGTAAGTGCTACGGCAATTTAGTTGAGTTAAGTGCACTTCAGATCTAAGCTACTTCTGCTGATGAACCCTCTTTCTGATAGCCGCACACAATCAAGCGTCAGCCCAGCTGATCTAAAGCCGTCCTCCACACGATTGCCAGTTGTATGCTCTATATTCTATTTACACTGGGATCCTTGACGATTTCCACCACCTCGGCCGTCGGTCTCTGTGAAGTGGACCGTAGTCCTCAATAACTTCTAAATCTACTTTGTGTCCTATGTTCAGTGCATATCCATGCAGTAACGCTTGATATTCATTTACGTTTCTCGGTGGTCTGCTTATTTTTCTTCTGAGCTCTCCCGTTCCGATGCGAAGTTCCCTGGTCGTGTCCTACGTATACATTAGTGCAGTCATTGAATTTAGTTCTATAGACACAATCTCCGGCTATGTTCGCTGGCGATCCTTCAATTGCACCAGTCCCTTCTGGAAAGCGACTCTTTAACTGTGTTTAGAACCCTTCGGACGATCTCCGAAGTCCCTAATTCATATGGAATAACAGCAGTCCCAATCCACTCCCTGTTAGGTTTTGCGACCGGTAACAACACCTTTCGCAATTGACATCTAGTTAAACTAGCTGGATATCCACTACCCCCAAAGTTTGTTTTTTTGCTTCAATTTGGACAGCATTCTTTGTCCATAAAGCCCCTAATCGGCTATAAATGGATGAGACAATATTGGAGAATACCGACTTCGGATGGGCAGACGAGTAGCTCAAAATCGCCCCAGTGCCAATTGGCTTCTCATACACTGTGGTCTTTAGCTTCATCTCGACTTTGCATCATGTAGTCTAAAGATGACAATGTACCCAAAGTTGACTCTATCTCCATACTAAACTTGATGTTTGGATTCAGGTTATTCAGATAATTGTAAAACTTACAGACCTTGTCTTGTTTCATCACGATGAAAGTGCTATTCTACATAACGTAATCCCACAAACTATGGTTGCAGTAAAAAACCTTTCCATAGTGGAGCTGTTCTCGGGGAGGAGTAAGTGAACTTGATCAAGAGCTGCTTGATTCCCAAAACGTCTAGTCATGTGCACAAAACGTGGTCGGACCGAATGCGTGATGACAAAAAGACGTTCGGCTGGGCTCTGTTTTAAAAAGATGATAAAAATGACATTTCTCACGAGAGACGTCGGAAACTAAAGTAATCATTCTTGTTTCGTCTTTTTGACCGAGGAAGCAAGTGTCTTGGCAACCAAAATAAGAAACCTCCTGTGGTCGCACCTCATGTGATGCGGCAACTTCACAAAAGTGTTGCCATAGTTACACACCTACGCGGAACAGACACGACTGACTAGAACAGTTTGGTCACGTGAGCCCACTCACCCAATTCTGGAGGTAGACGTTGTATATCATTCTCACCGGCCTTGATGACTTTCAGTTTTGGCAAGTTCCTGGAAGAAAGAACCACGTAGAGAATGATGGAGAAGGCAGTCGACCAAAGGGGAGAAGAACATCTGGAAGGTAGGACAATCCAGCACCAGCTCGAGATAGCTCACTGGCTAAAGTGGTCATTTACTGACCAGAAGGTCCGTGGTTCAAACCCGACAACTGCATCTCGACCGATTCTGTCTAGGCTTGGCAGTATCCTAGCCCCCGTGCTTCCTACTGGGGACACTGCAGCTAAGTACCAGAAGGGTGACACGGCTGAGCGATTATTGTTAATACCCAACACTAGCCGCTAATCGATGGTGAGGACAAGGTTTCGAAATTTGAGAAACTGAGCAAAACAATCCAGCCCACACAGAATATGGATAAACGAATCAGTTTGGGGAACGCGTCATTACCGCGACAGATACATGTCGGGATAGGTGATGAAAATGAGATAGAGCAGAAGGCTGGAAAGACAAAAGAACCGAACGGACAGCCATGGGCAACCGTGTAAACAGGTTTGTTATTCTCGGAAATTGGTAGCCGATTTGAAGATTCAGGTAGTTCCACTCAGTCAACGGATCGGGCGTTCACATCATCGAAATACCCAAAACGCTAGTGTAACTTGCTAGGACTGTGCGAATCGACCCGACTAGGTTTCAGTCTGCGAGCCTACAGATAAATGCAGAAGGCGACGACGATGTCTGCTTACTGAACATGTTATCAACGCTTTCAACCGAACAAAGACCACGGAACGTTCTGCGGTAGAGAATGGCCAGATAGGAGGAATATTGCCCGGCGCACGCCAGGATTATCACATAAAAAACCTTCGTATACCATTCGTTAACTGTGTTATCAGTCTAAATGGCACAAATTTGGCTTTTTCTGGAGGAAAACTCATGATCACGAGCGACAGGCTACCAGAGGAAAGCATAGTCATCTGTACCAGATAAGGATAATATATTTACCGTAAAATTTTGTTTTATTGTCTGTTCAGCTTCAATGCTACATACCGCAGCCATGGTAGATGTTCAGTGATGTTACTTGGAGACACTATTGGTCAACCCAAATCAAACCATGTCCGTAGAAGCCAGTGGTGCAACTGCATAATCTAGGAGTGTTGCCATAGCCATCTCGTGGACGTCACGTATAGACCCAAGCAAGTGACAAAAGGCACTGATTGTCATTGTGAATCTCCCCTTTGATCGAAGCAATCGGCGTCTTTTGCATAGTTGCAGGGAGTTCACCTCTTCGAATGGAGAAACCTTCGGCTCAAGATTGTTTCCTAAGTAGGAATGTTTCGTTTTGGTCTGTCACCTCAAGAACGTAGTGCTGTGAGAGACTTGGGTGATCGGCTGACTGAATAAACTTCGTGCTGATATCAAATGAACAGTCGATCCTAATTATCCAACAATTCCGATTCTGCGTATCCAGCCTTAGTATAGGTGAAATATGCTCTGCAATACCACGAGCCTACTGCGTACGATTAGGATACAAAAAAATACAAGAATCGAAAGTTATTTTGCGAGGAAACCACCAGTCAGAAGAGACCATATTCAACTGAATCATTGAAGCTCAGTTGACTCCATAGGACCATCCTTTAGAAGAGACCTATCTGGTGGGTTTAACGGAAGTGAAAGACGTGTAGTTCGCAGTCTGAAAGATAAACCACTTCTCAAAAAAAGTAAAAGGAGGCTAACGAGAACTGTACCTGAAGAGCATACTTTTACTGATCAAACGTGTTTCTGTTCGCAAAACTATAGTCATTTGTGTTTGAAGCGATTAAAAACCATGCAACAATCGCTCAGCTTAAGACCCTTTCAGTGCATGGTGGCCATGCCGCCCGGAGAAAGCACCAGGGTTGAGATACTGTCAAGTTGCCCAAGTCTAGACAACAGCAGTCGAGATTCAGAGACTCGGTTCGAACCACAGACCTTCCGATCAATAAGCTTAGTCCTTAACCCCTGAGCTATCTCGAAAACAAAGTTGATTGTCTAGAACTCAGAATGCTAGGAACAGATCAAGCAAGCTGCGAAACTCAAACGGTATCTACCATCACTTACTCTACGCTTCGGGGGAACGTTGTCAATCGATTGGAGAGAACATTCAGCTCCTGTAAACTAACCAAACCCGAAAGGTCCTCTGGTAAAGACTCCAGTTCATTCGAATCCAGCCCAAGAATTCGCAGCTTTGAAAGCTTGGTGATCTCGTCCGGCAAAACCTGTAATAGGATGGACAAAAGTCGCGATTTAGTATGAACCTGTCGCTGGATGGTTGAGTCTGACAACTTCAACTCTCTATGAGTAGAAAGTAGTCCAGGGATACAAACGAGAAAGAAGTGGAGCAATTTGGTTACTCTGTCTGCTTCCAATTGACGGACACTCATGTGATACAAAGTACTACAAGCTATTCGTGTTTTCCCTGAATTTCTATCTTTAGTGAGTGTACCGGAACCGCTTCTTGCCAGTAAATGATGCGGATCGAGGTATGTAGCAAGGTTCCCATCCAAGCGTTTACTGAATGAGTACTAATATGTGGTGAACGAACAAGTAAATGTATATTTGGCGGAGCCGAAAGCGTTCACTTCGGAGTACGAGGACAAGCAAGCATTCAACAAGGTCTAGCTGGAAAAAAAGGAAACCGCAGGAACAAAATCGTGGGATGATCGCAGCTGACAGAGGAATCAGTTGCTTCAACCTCTGGGGACTCTTCCCTCTCTTGGAAGACAGATAGCGCTCGCACACTAAATTTTCACTTAGCAAGATTATCGAAACCCTAATAAATAAACTTCCATAAAAAGCAAATGCTGATTTTCACGCCAGGCAAACAACTCGCCTGTGACCAGAGAAAGCCGCACAGCAATTCGTGCCGAGACTAATGCGCCGACCTTAACTGAAACTAGTCGGCTGTCCGTTAGACAATGTTGTCCAACCGAGGGATAGTAGGACCGAAGAGAGCAGAGTTTGGTCGCCTTGTCGATAGTTTGAGTCAACTAATTAGGTTGTTCTGGTTTGAGCGAATCTCAAGTTTATCTACTGTGGGGAATTAAATCTAGCAAAGTCGCTTCACATTAATTGGAGTGTACTCTTTCAGTGCTCCTGATCCAGAGGAACTTTAAGTAGCCGAAATACAATGTAAACATGTAGGAGCACATTAAAAAAATTAATTTATGTATGTTTGTTTCAATGGCACTGTTCATACAGTGAAGACAAAAGCTATACTCCTAAGGCATAGGGACAATCAAAAGTTAGGCTGCCATCTCCTCGGGATGATAATGGGATATACTTTTGTAAGCGGCAATGGTGCCATCTTCAAGATTCGATACAAAAACAATCTATTTTAGGTGACTGTATCAAGGTTAGTGTCTTCCAGTAAATTCATTACTCATCTAGTCTGTCGCTCGCTGTGAGGCATCGCTTTTCACGGCCATCAACAGTAATTCAAGCAGGAGACACCGCTAATTGATCACTTCAATTAGCAAATATTCCGCGAAGTTGGCAGTTATGTAAAAAACACGTGGCTAGATCCTTATTCAGGTATTCGTCTTTGAAGGGGCTGGATTGGCAAGCGATCACACCGACATCTTGATCAGTATAGGCTGGGGTGTAAGGTTCAAAACACATATGGACAATGCAGCACAATAAACATTGGCTCCAGCTATCGACCATTATGTGGTCCCGCTAACTAACCACACCTAGGCGGAGTTTGGCGCGATTCAACTCGACAAGATCACATACGCAGGTTCAAACGACACGTGTTTTAGTCACGTGACTTGATGAAAAACCAACAACTTACGCGCAACTGATTGAAATTTAATTCCAACACTTCCAGGTGCTGTAGTTCACCTATTTCCGCCGGCAAGCTGGTCAGGCGGTTAGAGCCAAGGTTCAGTTCGACCACGGAACTCCAGTGGTGAAGATCTGAAACCGGATAGGTGAAACGAAAACAATAAGCAGTCGTGGTCATGCGGTATGATAGAAGCGTACCGTAGGGCATATTACGAGAGGAACTGATTCTCGAACGCTGTGGTGACAAGAAAAAATGGTGTGTTGTGAAGTCCATCTAAGTATGAAACACATTCATGGGTTCTTACTAGAAATACACTGCTACTCTTAACTGTGACTTTTAAAAATAAGCGGATTTGGCTGCAGTAGAGACGTTGTACAGTGATGTCCTCAAGAGAGCTTCTTTGAAGAAACGACGAGTCCAAAATGGGAATGAAATCGCAGGATGCCAAACCTATTTGCATCACGGGAGATGTGATGTCCCTTACACCGGAAAAGAAGTAATTTCAAAAAGGGCGTGTCAGAACGTATGCACGTGCAACAGAAACGCGCAGGTGTCTATTGTTCGGACCACTAGATAATGAGCATGTGATTACTTATGCTAGTCTTCGTTGTCGTACACAGGAGTTAACGGTGGCGGATAGGTCGGCCGAGGGGACTATGAACCTCATTACTATCGTTGGTGGCCAGGGCCGGTCACGTCTGCCCTTCCAACGTATCCAAAGATCACTGCGTCACCTTTCCAGTGAAACGGAAAAGTCTTCTTTTCACATTTCCATTTTTCCAGGGTCACTGATGGGCTTTCTCGCTGAATGCGAGGACACCACACACAACAGGGCCGAGTCTACTTTGACTCCAACCTTTAAGGCTGGTCACTATGGCACAACAGATACGAGGGCGATTTCTCCATGCAGAAAAGAGCTTGGGATAGTCGCGTTAAACTAAGCCTCATTGTATGCAGCTTTGGCAGCAGTAACGCCCATGTGTGCACATGTGTGAGAACATGTGCTTCAACACCGGAGCTCGAGAAGTTCATGTACCGGAAAGGACTGAAATACCCGAAACAGTGAATTCGAAGACGTGTAAATCGAAATTTATAAGAAGTTTTTGAAAGTGTATCGATTTCGATGGGAAAGGAAAAATAAACTGCTAAAAGTTAAGGGGTAAAGTTCCAGGTAGGTGGGAAGGTCGCTGATCAGCTGGTTGTTGACCTATTCGCCGAGCTCGGTAATCAACCTGAAAATGTCTCGTTATCAACTGAGGTGGTATCATCAGTGTGCTGTTGAGTGGCTACCTCCACCTAACCTGCGTGCGTTTATGTGACTTTCAAACAGCATCTGATACATACTTATGTGGTTGGATAGATTGGGTATCGTACTCGTAATGTTACTGGTCTGTTTGTGATTTGTTTTGCGTTGTGGTCTGCAGTTTTTCTTTTCGGTAGTTTTGGTCCGTCTTCTGAGCTGCATCAGTTGTGGCCTGTTCTCCCCTAGTTTGGTTGATTATTGTGGCGACTTCTATTTTCATTGGTTTTCTTTCTTTAGTCCGTTCTCAATTTGTACTGCGATCTGACTGCTTTGGGTTCGATTCGCTAGTTGTACATCCCTGTTCGGGGTAGTTTCTTTCCAGTGTTCAGCGATTTTCAACGGGGAGTTCGTCTTGTGAGTGAAGCCAAACTATACTGAAAAGCCAAGAAGCACTGTATAGCTGTTTGATCCTTGTTGAAAATCATCGACAGTGCCCACCTAACGAAGTTCCAGGGAGTTCCGAACCAGCGACCACCGGGCTGGCGATTGGAACGTTTGACCAGGAGCGGCTGATTAGCATTCTGATTAACTCGGATATGGAGTTACACATCATTCGATCGCGAAAACTACATTGCGTGATCACGTATTGACTGGTTCGTCGAGTGACGACTTCTCAGATAAGTGACATTTGAGAAGTCATCACTACAGGAGTCAGTCAATACGACCCATGACCGGCTTCGTTCTTCTTGGGGCTCATCAGGTTGGTCTAGTCCCCGAGTTTCCGTCAATCTCATGTTTTACTTGAACGCTAAATTGTACACAAGTGGCGAAAAACGGTCAGTTGGCCAAGCCTCTCGTTAGCAAATGAGTGTATTTCGCTATCCCCAGTTGTACAATTGGACGTCGTACCCACTGTTCTGAAACACAACCAAGTAGGGCTTATCCGTGTGGAGAAAGTACGTTATTTCTATGCTCGTCCTAAAACACAAAGTGGATAGGGGAGTGGAACGGCTCCTATCTACTGCACGGATAACACAAAAATCTAATCTTTCGGCGAATCATAGCAAATAATCACAGTTTTCCCGTTTCTAACTCCTCCGACAATCCTGAAAGACTTGGTTGGGTACTAGCCACGAGTCGCATACTGAGAGTAATAGCTAAGCTGGAACCTGTAAAATACCGAGTGTAGTACTGTCACTTGTGTTAGTCCTTCCACAGAACGTATCACTACATCTGCAGCACCTGTTCCTCATTCACCACGTCAGTTGTTCATATATTACAGCACTGTTGGTCACCACCAAGATGATACCACATTTCTGATGTAAGTGGCAAGATCTGTTATGCTTTCCAATTGAAATAACTGTCCACCTGACGGTGGGCGTAAAAGGAATTCTTAACCTTCTGAATGTTAGTAGTAAAGGCCACCAGAAACTTTTTCAACTTTGTGAACGGATTAGGTTCTGTTTGCTCTATTCAGCATCAAAACGAAAGCGTTGTTTGATTTGATGAAAGCTATTTCACTTCGTTGCATCTTTGAACGTCATGATTACAGCTCAACGAAAGCTTCAAGCTCTTGCACGGAAGAAGTATGTTGAAAGATTCACTGATGAATAGCGCCAGACCAATTAGATCTGAGGTGTGCACACTTTTAACATCCACAACGATCGTTCACACCTGCAAAGTTGCAGTTCACCCAGAAAGTCAGATTTTTCTCGACTGTGACCTCGTGGGACATTACAAGACGGCTTAGGGGACACCTAAGGTTTCGTTTGTCAATGTTCTGTGGCTGACATTCACTCCAATGACTTGCTTCAGATTGCGTAAGCTGCAAACGTGAGCTCTGGCTAACCATCCACAACTTCCTCATAGTGCAGGCTCCAGGTGACGTGTTACGCGTCACAAGACCGAATCACGTGTTCGTGGCGCGTGCATCATCATCATCATCGACAGCATGACATCAGTGTTCAACACCAATGCTTCACTGCCGTACAAACACGACCTATCTGTAAAGAAAAGAGTAAAGGTGGACGGGGAAGAAAAGAGAAAGGTGGACGGGGAAGGGACTTAGTGCTAGCTTAACACAATCATCCCGAGGTGCCTACACCTCCAGACATTCACTCAGGGCATTTGGA